GTGGACCATCATCCACCCTCTCCAAACGCCTCGAGTGCCCGGCCAGTGCTTCGCGGAATTTAGGCTCCGGCCAATAGCGCGCCATTTTCTTCCCTGTTTTCGCTCGTTATACTTGTATACCAGAGTTTTAGCCCAAGTTTCGAGCGTTGTTTGATTCCGAGTTAGAGTACACGCGGCTAACACGTTCATCACGGTCTTCCTGATCAGACAGTGGCTTTGTTCGCTTTATGTACGAGTGTAATTGAGACACTTGTTCTTCCAATCAACATCGTTGATTGGTATGAAATTTTCAACTGTGAAGAAAAAAGGAGATGTTGCTGTTAGGTATAAAATATCAATTTTGAGGAGTTAACCCTTTGCACTCGAGAGGCACCCTTCAGTCGCCATTTGATAAAAATTCGAGGATCGAATTAATATGTCAAATTTAAAATAATGTAACAATGTGAGAGGTATCCGAATCAAATAATTCGTCAGCTTTATAGCAGAAAATCTTTAAACTCCTACGTCAAGTGCAAATAATCGTTAATAGTGCCTGAGATATTAAGGAGACATTTTAAGGAAACGTGTAGAGAAATTTGTCTACTCAAACGTAGCTGAAACGACCATTTTCTCTGTAGCAGAATCCGTCGCCATATTGCCCAATAGTCGATAACTCGTACTGATATTCGAGTGTCTATACAGTGTCTTGTTTAAATACCTCCTCGATCTTCTTTCCAAATTGCATTACGCAATTTGGAATAATAACACAGGTGTCTGATCGATACCTGTTATTATTCCAAATTATCTAATGAAATTGTAAAAGAAGGAAATCTGTAATTATACAAATTTATACCGTACTTTTAAATTTTTTCGCGAACTCCTTCCTCGAGTAAAAGGAACCATCGTGTTCTCAGAAAGATCCATGCACCTTTTGCTTGTAAAAGCAATTTCCGAAAAAATCCAACAGAGCATCAAATTTATGTAATTACACATACGGATTACTGGATGCCTGCCAACATACTGCACGCCATACTCGATCCAGTTGATCACGAGGGAGCGAAGTATGTCGAAAGGATGCTGGTTCGCCTGGTTGGTATCTCGCGTCGTTAGGGTCGACATTTTAATTTTAACAGCGGCGAAGCCGCAATTGGCTCGGAGGGTCACTGTCGACGTTGCTCCCCGTGGTCGGAGCTTAATGACCCCTAATGATGAGTTAAAAATACCCGATCCTCGGCCAAGATCGAGGGAGGTCGAGGTCGCGACGAATACGAGGGTAGGTGAAAAATCCACGATATCCCGTGGATCTTTCGGGGCTTCCAGTCTACTTCGCGACGCCATTTTAACTCGCGCTGTAATTTACAGGCCGGCGTTCGTTACGCGAAACGAGCGATCGCGGCCGTTAATCGGGGGAGAATTTTATTACATTTTAACTGGAGCGACGACGACAACGGAGAAATTGCAAGGACAATTACCCGTCGCTGGGATATAACAAACGGCTCGGCGAATATTCCGAGCTAATTACCGTTTAATTAATACACGCGAATCACCGCGTCGCGAGTCTAACGAGAAGTAACGTGTGCGGAAGGGATGAGAATGGGCGACGAATGCTCGCACGGAGCACCGGGTATAATACGTTTTTGCGTCACGCGATCTCCAAGAGCCCTGCAACCCTTTTACCCCTATTGCGTCACTTTCGACTTAACCGATTTAGAACGATATAAAATTACCGTGCCGCCGGTGGTCGAAATTAAAGTCAAACGCAACGAAAGTTTCCCGGGTCTTTGTCTCGGAAATAGAATTGAAGGGAACGGAAATGTGACGAATATTGCCGTTAAACGTGCTAATTACGCGGAGCAGAAAATTGCCAGTATTTATTGTAACTCGAACATTCGCTTCTCCTTCAGACTGATATTTTTATTCCGCTTCGCATAGTGAAGTGGAGTTCCGATTATACGGAATTAATCGGCACAATTTGCCTCGACTATGCTTCAGCAATTGTCGCGAATTTTATTACCACATCGCGAAAAAAGTTGTTCAACCAACCTCAGGGATCCTATCGGCTAACTTCGTCGACTGGCGAGTCCCGAGTAACCACTTTCTCCCGCCATTTTAATTTCCGCCATCTTGAGCCACGCTAATCCGTATATTTTATCCTCGAGATCCTCGAGAACACCGATCTTTATTTATTTTCGTAATGTTCCTCGTTGTTATGCGTTAACGAAAATGCAAATGGACGATGCACCCCTGTTACCTGTATTTTTCACCCCTCCGATTTATAATTGATCGGTCGCGCTACTATATTACTGCAGTGACCAACGTTCGTACCCTCACCAATAAATGGATTCCTACTTGAAGGAGGTTCGAGGATTTTCTCGCAAGTCCTTGGCGAATCCTCGACTTTTCATAAATAGAAGTTCCTATGGTACCTGAGTACCCCCTGTCTAAAGCAGGACCTGCTAGAAAGAAAATGTACATTATTGTACCTAGTTTTTAGCGCATTAAACTGTGGGGACACATCCCAGATGCGGAAAACGAAGATTCCTTCTAAATATTTTCGACTCCTTGGAGACATCGAGGGTTCCGGGTCAATGGGGGCCAGGTTTATGCCTTTACGACCAGGGTCCCATGACTCGCGGACGCAGGAACCACCTCGACGCCTAATGAGCGGCGAAAAAGAGTCAGTTCATTTACGATTCTTCAGCGACACGGGTCTTTCCCAAAAAGCTAGCCTTCTGTTTTCCGCATCTGGCCCCCCGCACATAATAAAGTCCTACTAAGGAAACGTAGTGTTATTTTCACTCGATCCCTCTCGTCCTCCACCTTCAAAACATGTTAAATTGGAAAATCGCTAGGAAGCCTCACTGACGAGCCCACTAGCAGGCCCAGGACGAAACGCTTGCCTTCCTTGCATCCATCTTTCACCTGCTTACCTTATCATAGCACAACGACCAAGGGGATAACAAACGGCAGCAACATAGGAACCACATAGTCATCATCGCAACCCCACATTACTATATCATCCATGTCTACGTTTGACATAATTCCTGATCATCGTATTCTTCATGCCCATCGCCTGGTGCACAGCTATAATCCTATTATCGGTGCATTAATCGGGGGTGTGTTTCAGGGGATAATTCGATCATGTTTCATGCTTCATGCGTTAGATGGACCACTTAGCTCGTTCACAATCGCAGAAACGATTGATCGATAAGAAAGAGCTAGCCTTTTGATATCCCACGTGGGAACTTGGAATAACGGCGTTGGCCGTTTACGGCGACGATTGTATCGCGAGACGCTTTATCCCAGGCAAGGTAACAAATTTCGACGCCTTAATGAACGCGGATTAAATGTTCCGGGCTCATTAACCCGGCGAATGGGCGCGAAAGGCGGAGGAAAGGAGGGGGCCCTAGGATATTGCCGGCTGGAAAAGAATTACACGGGTAATCACCCCGCGGCCGGGATAATTGCGATTGACGAACGGGGCAAAGGGTTAGGCTAGGTCGCATCGTTGGGGAAAGCACGTAATAGGGCGAAATTTGTTTCGATAACTTGGCCCCGTTAGGCGAAAAACCGCCCCGGGGTGCTTATCGTCGCGGGATCTACCGAAGAACGACTGCGATTTCGAGGGGGGTAATGGGCAATTGCTCGTCGCAATAGGGATAGTGTGTGCGAAACGAAGTGAACGGTATCCTATTCGGAATGCCTGGGTTTTTGGAAATCACCCTTTGTAATCTTCGGAGGAGCTGGCTCAATCGAACCTCGTTTGATACTTTCACTGCCACGCTATTTTTGTATAATACACTCAAGGGGACACGATAAAATTCCCATTACTCTCACGACACAATGATAAATTATCAAACAATATCGCGTAAAAAGTATGGTGCAAGTTATTAACCCCTTCCCGTACAATGACGAGTCTGACTCGTGATGAAGATTTTGGTCCAAACATGAATATCACGAGTTAGACTCGTGAACAGAATATTTTTCTAAATATTGTAATGACAGTTTCAAAACTAAATATTGTTACGAGATCATATCCAGCCGGTATTCGACCAAGAAGAGCGGATCGTAACTTCAGTGCAGAAGAATCCAGCACCTTCCAGAATGTTCGGTTTAAATAACAATCAGCTATTGATTATAAAAGGAACGTCTTCCATGGAAGTTCATAGAGTGCTGTTAACCTTTTCAGTAGGAAAAATCTGTTGTGAAATTTTAGAATTCTTCGGCAATTCAGCGATCGAACTTGAGGAATAAGAATTGCACTCGCGATTTGTAAGAATATGTTTTGAAACTGTCATCTATTATAAAATATAATACATTTATAATATTTATAAAAGGAAAAAGGATTAGAGTTTACTTCCACAACAGCAGGATCACGTAATGTATCACACACTATATCACACGTCTTTACATTTCGGCTCATATTGCGACTGTTTTTGAGAACATCAGGCTGGTCTGTTTACCGCCGACCATTTGGCACGGGAAGGGATTAATATCGTCTGTTCAAAGTTCTCTATCTATTTACGTTCTTCGAATTTTCAAAAAATGGTTAGAATTAAACAAATGTAAATTTAAAGAATTGGTATCATTGGACATTGACCGGATATTGACCACCATGGCTCTAATCAGGAGGCAAGCGCCGGTCACTGATGACCACTATGGCAGTCATCGTGTTAGATATCCCGTTGAGGGGTGTGTGCGCGTTCGCGACGCTGGAGATTTCGCTGTTGGATGGGACAATGGAGACGGGAGACGATGCACGATCGACGTGTCGGGGTTAAAACTTTGGATAACGAGTGTAACCGTAACTTGGACTCGTCTGGAATTACGCCAGAGGGTGTTACGTGGTCCCAGACGTAGTAAACATGCCGGGTCTCGCATCGTCACGTAGCTGCGCGAGACTTTTATATCGTAATTGCTTGATTCCGGAGGACACGTGATCCGCTTAAATCGCGAGACGAGTGGCTGGACGAATTCTAGCAGACAATTTCTTATCATTCGTGCTTCTTTTCTTTTTCCAGGCTGGCTGTGATGAGGGAAGCCGGTTAAAGGACCCTGTGTCGCGCAGGCGCCGGTAGGAGTACAGGAAAGATGCTGCCTTCCTCGAGAGCTTTATTAAGCCCGCTGCTGCTTCTAATCATCGCTGGAAGCACCGGTGCCTTCAACTCCCGACAAGGAGGTAAGAAAACTCCGTTGGAAGATGTTTTGTCCTGAAAGGCAACAACGACGACGACGACGGCGTCGACGTTCCATGTCCTTCGTCAATTTTCAGAAAGTTTTCCCAGGCAAATCTGGTTAAGTCGTTGACCGAGTTTCCCAGCGGACTCTCGTTTCCACGAGCTGCTCCTCGGTTCTCCTCTCGCTCGAATTCTAGTCGTTTAACCGTTCCCGGTGTCGTTGAACGCTCGTGAGAGTCCGAGCTCCGGATGCCTGGAACGAAGATCGAGAACCTGTTGGATGACGACCCAGTTAGTCCTGTTTTTAAATTATGTAAGCCGAAAGGACGGCTGTCGGGCCAAGTTCGGAGAATAATGGCTCTCTCCGACTCCCTGTTGCGTTAACCCTAGGCAACGGCCTGTTATCGCCTACTCCCGCGATAAATATTTGTGCAACCAAGTTTCCGCTTTTAGTCCAGAGACTGTCTTCCTTTCCACTCTCCTCTACGCCGCGTTTGCTTTAAATCTCCTTCCCGTTAACAGCGCGAGCAGGTATCGAGTTTGGTTACGTTCGGAGGATGACACGGGCAATGTTCGCGTTCAATTTCTCCTGTACGAATTTTCTGCAACTTTCTGCAATTCTCCAAGTGCCGACCAGTCGATCGGACCAGTCGCGTCGATGCTGTGTAAATTATACAATCTACGCGTGATCGAAACACGGTCAAGATGAAATCACGGTTTCGTCATCGACGGGTATTATGAATTACGAGGTGTCAGTTTATGACATCGATGTTCGTTGAATCACGCTGAAGAATCGGGACACCAGACACGCAATAAATATGTCTACTGACGGTCACAGCAGTTTGGACCCCAAGGTCCTCGCCCTCATCCTTTGACACTACCTGATTTGACAGACACTTGACGAACGTGCCACCAAAGCTTGCCATAACCTGCCCACACCAACTAAGACTTAGACTAACTAAGATTAAGACTAAATCTCCTTTTCTGGTTTCAAAATTCATCCATCTGCTTCATAAGATAGGTAACCAATAGAATGACTCTACGAAGACGTGTCTAGGTGACGTAGGAAATCGCTCTATCTCGACTAGGCAATTAAGAACAGTGTTTCGAAGATCACGTGCACACGGTCTCGTCGCAAAATTGGCGAGAGTTATGAAAATAGGGACGTAAAAATGGCGTGGGTTCTCAAGAATCGGTCAACTTTTAGTCACAGACATGTCCGAGCTATTAACAACCGCGACATAGTTTGTACCAGAGTGTTTCGGGGTTTCTTAAGCCCAGGTAAATCCAGCGACAAGTTCGGGACGTCATAGAGCCAGCTCTATTTTAATTCGGCGCCACTTGCTCGGAGCAAAGTAGAATGCGGCGGTCGCATAACCGTTTCATAACCGATCCGCGAGGCAACGGTGGCGGAGGCTTAACGCAAACTGGCGCCATTTCTCGGAATTACCGAGTGCGGCCCGGCTTCTGAATTTACACGACCTTATTTCGGAAACGCTCGCGCGACGCGTGCCTGCGCGCTGATAAAGTACGAAGCGAGTGCCCGCTAGTGCTCGATGCACTACCACGCAGCGTTTCCGCTTCCGGCCGTGCCTTCTTCCACCTTCTCGCCTGGTCCCCTGGTCTTTTTGCGTGACCGGCGTTATCCTCCGTCTCTACGGTCGTTTGTCCGCGTTTCCCTTTGCTTGCCCTCGCAGAGAGAACGTCTCTTAGTGACCATTTCCTAGATTAAGGTCACCTGCAAAGCAAATAGTTGTTAGAGGAACCAGGGACTCGCGGAACGTTCAACTTCCGCTATATGTACGCGTATGCTTCTGCGAAACTATTTACGCGCGAAACACCGTCGGAGATACCGAAGAGATACTGCTCTCGCGACCGGGAATTTCTCTCACCTCCTGGCAACCTCTCTGTTTTCCTACTTTTCCCTCTACGGCTACCTCTGTCTCCGTTTCTCCTGGTCCCCGTTAATTTTCGAAGAGAGGAGGAAATATATTTCCCGCGTACCTCGGCAGAATTATCTCGATCATTTTCGAAAAGTACAGAAGTAAATCTGAAACGGGTAGTTCTAGCTCTCTTGCGATCCTAACACTGCTACTCTCGCGTTCAGAGTTTCACAGTAATGGTAGTAAGGCCCATTTACACAGGTGCGACAGTGTTACTGAGATGTGGCTTAGTCTAAATTAGTAGAGCTTGACTAAGTTAGAGTTGAAGTGAACAGTTCTGACGTGCGACTGAGTTCATTGTCATGGGTTTGTCTTCACTGCTTTAGGTTTGAGAATTTAGATTTTAGAATTTCTTGATCGTGATGCTTGGCTCCTGTCTCGATAGTTTTATAAATTCGTATGTCTTCTGTTGGTTGTCAGTAATATTGGGGTGTGTATTAACTTGGATGTCTTTCAACGATGGTAGATATTTAAGCAAATTAGGTTCTTATATCTATCGTTTCAAGGATGACGATGAAGAATTAAACCTTGCTAAGGTTCACCTAAGTTATATCCAGGTAACGAGTGTCTATGAGCCTAGCCATAGCCCAGCAATGACATAAAACAGAAAACAGTCCCCGTCTTAACTTGGGATGTTTGGTTCCAGGGCCGTACCAATCCCCTTCAGGGTAGTTCTAGGGTTACCTGTAAAAATTTGTGCTTAGAAGATGTGTATGTATCTATATCAATAGCAATTCGAGAAAATTTGCTTGTTTTCTTGGGATTTTGAGGAGAACCCTCTGTGCGACTCCTGTCTCGATAGTTTTATAAATTCGTATGTCTTCTGTTGGTTGTCAGTAATATTGGGGTGTGTATTAACTTGGATGTCTTTCAACGATGGTAGATATTTAAGCAAATTAGTTTCTTATATCCATCGTTTCAAGGATGACGATGAAGGATTAACCCTTGCTAAGGTTCAGCCAAGTTATATCCAGGTAACGAGTGTCTATGAGCCTAGCCATAGTCCAGTAATGACATAAAACAGAAAACAGTCCCCGTCTTAACTTGGGATGTTTGGTTCCAGGGCCGTAGCAACCCCTTTCAGGGTAGTTCTAGGGTTACCTGTAAAAATTTGTGCTTAGTGGATGTATATGTATCTATATCAATAGCAATTCGAGAAAATTTGCTTGTTTTCTTGGGATTTTGAGGAGAACCCTCTGTGCGATTCCTGTCTCGATAGTTTTATAAATTCGTATGTCTTCTGTTGGTTGTCAGTAATATTGGGGTGAGTATTAACTTGGATGTCTTTCAACGATGGTAGATATTTAAGCAAATTAGGTTCTTATATCCATCGTTTCAAGGATGACGATGAAGGATTAACCCTTGCTAAGGTTCACCCAAGTTATATCCAGGTAACGAGTGTCTATGAGCCTAGCCATAGCCCAGCAATGACATAAAACAGAAAACAGTTCCCGTCTTAACTTGGGATGTTTGGTTCCAGGGCCGTAGCAATCCCCTTCAGGGTAGTTCTAGGGTTACCTGTAAAAATTTGTGCTTAGAGGATGTGTATGTATCTATATCAATAGCAATTCGAGAAAATTTGGCGCACGCTCTAACGTAGGTACACTTAGGTATAATTTAATCGTATAACGACTGTAGCTTTGTTAGCTTTCATGCTTTGCTCGGTGTAAAAGAATCAGGGAAGGCTAGACTCGTGGTCACAGTGAAAGGTCCAATTATCCGAAACGGTCGGTACGTATCGCTGAGAGACACTCTTGCCTATGAGCCGTCCGGACTGGCTTCTCCCGAGCTCGCTGCAATAAGTTGGCGACCCTCTACGAATGTTCGTTTCTATCTCGAGACGAATTAATTCTATCGTGCGCGTATAGGGGGCCGGAATTTGGATCGATCCTCGGTTCCATAACAGCATCGAATATCCTCATCGAGGCGGAGCATTCTCCGAGATAACCACTTAGACCGCGATCTAAAAAGAAATCCAGACTCCTCGATGAGAACTGTGATATTAGCTTCCAGCTTTCCTCTCGAGAGTCCGCGCGATGACCCCGGCCGCGTATCGTACACAAGCCGCGAGCAAGTTTCGTTATATTTCCCCTACCGGCGAGACCCTGCGCCACGTGTCCCCTCGCAGGTTCACGATTTTCTTTACAATTTTCTTTCCGATTCTCTTCACAATTTCCTTCACGGTCCTCTTCGCAACTTTCCTCTCGCAATCTTCCTCGCATCCGAGAACGTCAGCGCCACTTCTTTCAATCGCGACGCGCAATTCGTGGCGCTCGCGGATTACAGCTGCGGCCGCAAGCGTCGTCGGCTGGCTCGTTGAGATTTTATTTCCCTCGCCCGAGAACCACGCCACTATCGTAACCCTTTAGACTCTCCTAGGGATGGCAGTTGCAGCCGCCCATTGACCCAGATCCCGGCGGTGCGCGAGCGGAATTTCAGCGAGGCGCGAAAAAGCTTGCCAGCTCGGGGCCACGAGACCTCGACCCCCTCGCGAATTAAGGTCGCAGTCGACGTTCCTCAGCCCCGAATTCTTCCCCTTCGACTCTGCTCCGGGCGACTCGCGTTGATTGATCGGAATTTGCCTACTCGACGCCTCACTCGCGGCGAGTCTCCAGATATCGAGAGAACGATCGTCGCGATCTCGCGGCAAACGAGATTACACGATCGAATTTTAGCCTCGAACCCCATCGCGAGGGGCTGATCCGGTTAAGGCGATCGTAAAGGCCCGTGGTTTGCTCGTTAACGCGAAAGCCAATTGCATCGCGTACGAGACGTCTCGAGGCTCTTCCTATAACCTTTGGCAGGAATTTCGGTGTCAGAGACTGGGCTTGGGTCTTTATTTGTATCCGACGAGTTCTTACGTGGAAATTGGCGTGAATAATTGCCGCCCTTTCGTCGGAACACGGTGTAGACTCGAAATATATCTCGCGACTGAAAATTCCCGGGAGCTAACAATAAGATCGTCGTCGACATCTGCGAGTCCACGAGCCGCAAGACGAGCCACGTTTAATATAGAACCGACAATGAGTACCAGGAATAACCGTTCAGCGAGTCGTTGT